AGCGGGCGCGCACGGTACTGGACGCGGCCCCCTGGACGCGGGGTGCCGTTCTGGTCTGATGCCCACGTGTTCTTCTCTAAGGCTGCTGTGGTACAGTGACGCTTCATTTACTCAAGCGTTTCTCCATCAATGTATGGTGAGCACCGATTCTGTGCCAGGTACGGGACCACGCACCTGGAAAAGGAGACCAATGATGCACCCTAGCTGCCCATTAGAGGAGCTAGACATCTCATCCCAAAATGACAGCAAAAGAGGGGCCACAGGAGCACAGCAGAAGGGCATTTAACTTGGGGGCAGTGGGCGCCACGGAGAACTTCCTGGAGTCCGTTATGTCTGTGTTGAGGTTTGAAGGGCTTGGGAGGAAAGGATGAAGAAAACATGGCAACGAGTCATGGCATTTTTCTGGAACTATAAGTACTTGGGTTCAATATTGATGGTAGAAAGGAACCAAATAATCGAAGGCCTCGTGTAGTAGATCAAAGGCTTCCAACTGTATCCTAACAGCCATGGAAAGCCATTGGTAGGTTTTAGTGCAGTAACATGGTCGATTTTTGCTTTTAAGGTCAAGTCTGGTAGAAGACGGAAGATTGCAAAGAGATGAGGCTGGGGTGCCAGTCGGGAAACTTTGATAGTATTCCAAGTTTTTTTAAAAAAAAATAATAACAACAGCCAGAATTGGGATGGAAAGATGATAGATTTGGGAGACTTTTGGCAAGAGAGTCAAGATTTGATGCTAAACTGGGAGTCAGAAGTGAGAACGAGAGAGGAATTCATGATGTCTTCCATCTGTCTCATTTGATGACCAGGTGAATGATGAATCCATTCAACAAGACAAGGAACCCAGCAGAAGAAAATCAAGTCCAGCATTTGTTTTTGTTTTGTTTTCTGTTGTGGAGGGGTGGGGAGAGAATGACAAGTTCCATTTAAATACGTTAAGCTTTAGGGATTTGTGAAACATCCAAAAGATACCAGTAGATAGTTGGGTATACAGATCTGAACTCAGAAGAGAGATCTAGGCTGGAGATATCAACAGAAAGTCACAACAAATAAAGTTAAAGCTGTGGGTGTGGATGAGTTAGCTTACAGACAGAGAACACCAAGTGGGAAGATGGTGAAAGACGATCTCTTGTATTAGACTGTAGACTGTGAGCCATTGGCAGGCAGGGCAGGTGGTGAGTCTGTGTCCTCCCAAGCTAGAATAGGGACTTTGGAGAGGGCTGGATAAATGGCCTCTCTCTGCCAACCCACTGGGCCTCTCCCATTCTCCCCTACCTAATGGTGCGTTTGGTTTCAGCTTCTTTGGCTCTCTGATAGTCAGGGATCATGCGAGCAGCCTATGGACAATGGCACCTAGTTTTACTGGAGGAAGAGGATAAGATCCCTTTTGAATTCCCCTGCCCCCTTATTAATTTCCCATATATATCAAAAAAAATTTTTTTTATATATCTTTATTGATTTCAGAGAGGAAGGGAGAGGGAGAGAGAGATAGAAACATCAATGATGAGAGAGAATCATTCATCGGCTGCCTCCTGCACGTCCCCTACTGAGGATCAAGCCCGAAACCCAGGCATGTGCCCTCGACCGGAATCGAACCTGGGACCCTTCAGTCCGCAGGTTGATGCTCTATCCACTGAGCCAAACCAGCTAGGGCTATATCTCAAATTTTAACCTCAAACTCCCTCAATTTAACCTCAGAAAACCCCAATTTAATTCAAGTCCACAAATATACTGGTTTGGGTGAGGTGACAGACTACAAAGATGGTTAGGCTGTGTCCCTGCCCTCGAAGATTTCCCAGTCCAGACTGCATTCAGCAAGACAAACGTGCTGAGCGGAGTTTTTACAAGGGGTGGGAATATGGGGACACCAGGGCAGGGACCTCACCCTGTGAGCTGCCTTATAAACTCAAGGGCAGGGTCCGGGGCGCTGTGCCACTCTTCCTAGGCCTGATGCTGAGATGGCACTCCCAAGCGGCTGACATGAAAGCAGCATCATAAAAGGATCGGCGTCATTAGGGTGATGAACCAGTTGGTGCGTGGACAGCCAGAGGGGATGAAAGGCGCGGGGTGAAGACGCCCCGCGTACCCCTGGCTTGACTGGGCAGGGCTTCCCAGGGCCGATGAAAGCTGGAGGAACCGGGCTCAAAGTGTCTCTTCTTGCCTTTCCCGGGAGGAAGCGGTGGACACGCTCCAAGGTCGGGAAGGCAGCAGTGGGGGGGCTCTTTCCCTCCAGAGTCCTGGGTGACCGGGTCCCCACCCAACTCAGACCCCCCTCAACCTTACAGAAGACGCGCACGAGTTGGAAGTTGCTGTGGCAATGAGGCTCCGGGAAGATTGAGGAAAGCCAAGGTCTACAGAGGCGACATCCTCCTGCACCCTCTTTCGCCCTACGGTTAAAGTGGCGCCCCCCACGCACAGGAACCGTCCCTGGGGCCCCGCCCCGGCGCGGAGACAGCCGTGGACCTCCGGGGGCGGGAAAAAAAGCCTCTCTGGGCACAGCGCCGCTGCGCGACTCGATGCCCCGACCGGAAGTGCTCTTCACCGCCGGCCTCCCACCCGGCTCTCTGGTCTGGGCGGTAAGATGGCGGCTACCGCGGAGTGCGATGTGGTAATGGCGGCGACCGAGCCAGAGCTGCCCGACGAAGAAGGAGCGAAGAGGTAACCGGGTCGTGGTGCCGGGGAAGGGGCGAGCTGCAGCTCTGTGGCTGTGGGTAACCGGTCCCTGCCATGATGCAGCTACAA